AACTGGCTATTTGACAACTCGTCAATTGACGGCTCAAGCACTTACAGAAAGTGATCTCTGCACAGATTTAAATTATTTATGATAGCAAAGTAGCTGAAAATTAGTCCACCCTTACTATGCAAAAGAAAATGTGACTTAACGCTTCACTAATTGCTAAGAAGACTTGTCCTGTAAGTAGTCATTAAGAAAGCAAAGTAATATAAGGCAATCCTAGAATTTTTATGTGTTCACAGTCTGCTGGTGACTAATGATGTTTGCCCAGTCCTACCACTGACTATAGAATTACTAATCTTGGGAAGTTTAGCAGTTGTCCATTAGCTGAAGCAGCGAGAACAGTTGAACTTATTTCATCTCACTTGAGATATCTCAGGTCGTCAATTGTAGTCAGCTGGCACTCTGAGCTGTGATTCATTTCATCCTGAAAGCGTTATGAAAAGGTGTCTCAGGAGGCATCTGGGGAGCTAGTGTAGACGTAGCTGCTTAACTCTGAGATGTCTGCTGTGAGGTGAGATGAATCTCACCCAAAGGGACTTTCTGGATGGATGCTGACAGGCTTTATCAGGTCTTTGTAAATCATTTTGTGAATCTCCACATCATTTGCTACCTGCATCCCTGTGGTGTTCAGAGACATGGTTTAGTGCTAGACCTGACATTGCTGGGTTAACAGTTGGAACGGATGATATTGAAGGTCTTTTTCAACTGAAACAATTCTACAATTTTATGATTCCTCAGTGCTGGGAACTGGAAATTGTAAATCCCAGACTGAAAGAGTGGGGTTTACCTCTCATTTTTATAGGCAATGAAATCACTTGCATTCCTCAGCATTCTCCATGTGTCTTAATCTATACGTTTACCCACTACTAACCGGTCTGCGTCTTCAGTTTTGTTGATTGCAAAGAGGGTATAGCATACCTAGATCAGCTGTTTTAATCTCCTTTCATTCAGATGCCATGCTGGGAGACTCAGAGGTCTGGAGCTCTCAGCCAGGTTGTCTAAGGAAGGTAAACAAATTTTGAGGTTGAGCTTGGAATATTCAAAGAATGGTGCCACAGCTGAGTTCAGGTGAGGTGTGATATTCTACGGGTGGGAAACTAATGAGCAAATATACTGATCATTGTCCCCTTGACAATCTCAATGGAGCTGCACCGAGTGGTGTTATTCTGACCTGTGAGATGGTTCTTGTAGGCTGCCATAAATAGGCAAACTAAATAGGCTGAAGTAAGTATAACATTTATTTTTCTTAGATAGAGGGATTTGGGGTTGTGTACCTTTTACCTTTCAAATTACTGCAATATTTTATTTCTTTATTATTACAGTGGTGCATGGTGGGAAGACAAGAGGCAAGGGGCATAAATTGAAACAAGGGATCCAAATGGCTTGAGACAGCCAAGTATTGGAACAGGTTGCTGAAAGAGGTTGTGCAGTCTCTATTCTTGGAGATGTGCTTGGATAAAGCCCTGAACTCACGACTGAACCATTTTGAGGAATATGTTAAACTAGAGACCTCCTGAGTTCCCAGCCTGAATATTCTACACTAAAAAAATTACATGTTTTAATATACAAAAGTTATTTTCATACACATTTTAAAAATCATTAAGACAATGTCAATTTGGTTTGATTTAGTCATCTGCCCCAAAATATAATAAAATTTTTGAGGAAAGAATAGAATAGTTCTACAGAAGCTTTGAATTGCTGTTGATTAAATCTTTCCTTATTCAGTTTAAGAAATACTTATCTCCTTGGAAATTCAGATGTAGAAAAATGAAACACAGCCCTGGTCTACCACAGTAGCCGCAGGTGGTGCCATTGACATGCCTTTGCAAGGTCCGTACTGATGTTCTTGGCTCCAGAAATAATTACTGGAGATATAAACAGCTGGATCAGCCTAGAGTCCCTAACTTTGCTCCTCCAGGCACTGGATATTATCATGAATGAGATGCAAATGATTACAAAAATCTACTACACTGAAGACAATAACAACACTTCAGTTGTTCCAATGGGTCAAGGCTTTTCACACAGTTTTCAAACAGCTGTTATTCCAGTTACTTAAGAGGTAATTTCTGTGCATATTATGAAAGCCTTTTTAAATCAAACACAGAGTTTTAACCTACAAGAATTACAATCATCCAAGCTAAGGAAAAATAAAAATGTAGTAAGGTAATTGTGGCCATTCTGATCATATTAATTGCTTTGTTAACGCTGAACACAGTAACTCTCAACATGATTTCACCTCAATACATAACAGATCAGGAAGCCAGGAAATCAAATAATCGAGAAGACCTTTTATTCATTAACTGAGGTTTGAATTGGGGTGATTGTAATAGCAAGAAAAGGAGACAAAACATCTTTGTCAATAACCTTTTGTCCTAGCCTGTCACAATGAGAATTCCTAAAGAGGAAAAGACATTTGGAAGAAAGCAATCTTACTAGTTAGTGTTTGAGAAATAATTCATAGAACGTACACTTGACAGCTAAAAGAACAAACTATGAATGAGGTTTTTTTTGGAGGGATTGTTTCTTATTACTCTTCAACTGTGTTAATTTCATTCAGAACTCTCTGGTCTTTAGTCAGTCAAAGGGTAAGAAAATTCCTCATTATAAAGACATTAAATGTGACACTATTTTGCAGGTATTTCAAGTCTTGACAAAAGTCCAAAATGGTACTTTGTAGCTTGTGTGACATCAAGGGAAAAAATGGGTTTTGCATTGACACTTTTTACTACTTTTTGTCAAATTACTAAATCTAGCCCTGGTCATATAAAAGACTAAATATGTCTCAGCTGTACCTTTTATGCCATCATCACTGAGACTATGAGTAACAAAAATTATTTTGGGGGATATTTTTAAAGATGCCTGAATTAATGTTCTTTGGATTACTCAATTTTCAATAATCACTAGATTTTATTCAGGACTAGTAGTTCAGTATTACCCACCAGTGAAAAGTATAGTTTAGCCTTCTACTCCATGACTTGCAGATGCCATCCATGGAAATTTTGCTACTGATGTGTGAGACAGCAAGCACAAGGCTTTATTTACTTTCTTTAATATTTGTTCACCTGTGGAACAATTTATAAAACCACCAGGAAACACTCCTCTGCCTGCCACCTGAGCTCCAGTCAAGGACCTGCAGATTCTGTGTGTCCTCATGCTTCTTTCTATTTCTCCATCCCTGGCTTTAGCCAGCAACATCTTGTCTTCTCAGATTTTGCTCTGCCTTCTGATAGTCTTGAGGAAGAATGGTGTGACAATCAAAGTTTCTTTTCTGGGATTTGAAAGATGGTTTTATAGAAAAGAGGAGAGAGAACTGCAAAGAAATCTGCAACAAACCCAGGATTTTAATAGTGAATTTTGGGATCAGGTAGACTTTTATGCAAGTGCTAGTGTGGGGGGAGGGTATGTTTGGATGATTTGGCGCAAAATAAAATAAAGTAATTATTGTATTCCCTCCGTGCATTGCACAGAAATTATGTCATTTCATGCATCATTCACACTCTCATTACTGATACCACATCTAAATTACTCTGAGCATCAACAAAACAAACACCACTTAGGTTAGCTGAAGACTTGAAAACTTGGGAGTGAGTGTTACAGATTTCATTTTTGCTATAATACTATGTACAGCTTCCAAAGTGTTAGCTTGATCTTGAAAAGTGTAAAATAATGAGTATTCTTGACTGAATGTCCTTTTTCTCTTCCAGAAATATGTAGTATTTTGTGCTGGAAGCAAGGGTTACTTTACGTATTTATAATTTTGTCCGCTTACTTAATGGGAGAGGCAGGCAGACTACAGAAATAAAGAGATTTCACTGCAGTTAGTTTGTCACTGGTCTCCAGCTGTTGTTCTCACGATAGTTTTCCACAGTTCAGCAATGTCAGGATGACTGAAATGATGTTGTATCTGGGGAGAAATGAAATGGCAATGCATGGCAGGGGAAGGTACATAGAGTCAGCATGCAGGCGATAAAATTATTTTCAGCAAAACAAAGACTTTTGAGTCAGAGTTTGTATTTTCCTGGGTTTTTGCATATAATGCCTGGAAAGGAAAAGATGCAAGAGCAGGTCATCTGGCAGTTGCCCAGTGAGGACAGCTTAAACTTCTCGGGATTAAGCTCTGACTGTTAGTTACGGAGTCAACCTTACAGGACACATTGAAGTTGTGGTGGCAGCTTCTGGATGGAAAGACTTGGCTGTGACCTTCTTTCATGCAGACTCAGCAGTGATCCATCCTAAAGTCCTCAACCAGATGGGATCATTTCAGTCTGGGGGCGGGATTGCCCTGACTCAGTAGCTGCATGCCTCTGTACTGAACCAACAGTGTCTTCCTAGAGGTCATGATCAAAGGAAATATTTTAGATACTTCTCAGATCATGCATTTCTGTCCACCAGGTCAGTCAGTGCTGACACTGCAGATCATAAGTTAAATCTACCAAGACTTGGACACTGCTCATTCCTGCATTGATAACCCCAGGATGGGTTATCCATCTGATTATTTACATCTGCATTTGTCAGTTTAGTACTTGGTGCATTTGAAGCAGACACGTCTTCTACATATCCGATGTTGTTGAAATTTGATGGGTTTTACTGTCCAATTTCCAAACACTGGGTTAAACAAGTACCTTAGGGGTTTTTCTGAGCAGCTGAAGAGCATTTAGGACAAGAGGTATCTTAAATAAGGTGCCCAAATACACTCCTAAGTTTATAGAGGTCTGCCTACATCCTATCAAATACACATAATTTCAAAAAAATACTGAACAGACATCTTACTGAAAGAGATAGTGATAATTCTATTTTTTTTCCTTTTTAGAAGCTGATGGCTCAGAAAGTTTATATTATTAGCCATGCATGGTCAATCGGTTTTTTAATTTTCATAACTTAATTTCATAATTTAATTTTCATAGCTCAACTTATTTTTCATAACATAACTTTGGAGTTACTTTACCTCCTTTCTACCCTTTTCTATTATCTGGACAGAATTAGTGACAGGAAGAGAAGAATGAAAAATGGCCGAGTTCTTACTGCCTGGTACCAACAACTTCCGTAAGTTCACTTGCGAATCCTTGGCTGTTATTGAAAAGAGAATTGCTGCCAAGAAGACTTGTCGAGGAAATACTATAGACCAGAAATCTGATGAGAAACCGCGGCCTCAACTTGACCTAAAAGCTTTCCAGAAGTTACCAGCTCTCTACGGAAATCCTCCTCCAGAGCTCATTGGGGAACCACTGGAGGATCTTGACCCATACTACAAAGACAGTAAGGTTAGAGCCAACCAGGAAGCTTGGATTTTTTTTTTTTTAATTGTGTTGCTAAGAAGAGTTTATATGCGTGATCTATCAGTGTTGCTTACATCCCTTTGGAGAAACTCTCATCCCTTTCTAGGTTGTAATAATGCAGGCAGTTGGCACAGCTGAATGACATGCTCTAATCGTCTTTAAAAAGAGGATCATAATTTTGAATTATAGGAATTAAATATGAACTTGATTAACATTTGAATCAAAATGGAAGTAGAAAAAATAAAATGGATAAAGGACGAAAAGGGGGGTTTTAGTAAGTTCTACAGGAAATTACAGTAATTTTGTAAATTTTCTTAAGTTCTTTGGTTTGAAACATGTTCCTCTCTATCTCAGTGCTTATGCTCCACTTATATGTACAACACATGATCAGCTAAGTATGGAGCTTATTTTAAAACAATTGCTCATGAATCCTTAAAACCTACTTATTCAAGCTTCATATTCTAATCATAAATTATTGAAGAATATGATTTTTCAATAAAGAACAGAAAAATGGTAATTAATACATTGGAAGTTATGCTTGTTACTTGAGAAATAATTAATACTTGGAACTAATTTCTACAGTCATAGAGCTAGAGGATTGCTATCAACAATAGAAAATAATTATAAAGGATGTAATTCTTCCACTTTTGTGTATCTTGACTCAATGAGAGGTTCAGTTTCTTTAAAGAGAAGAGTCATAAGCAAGATTAGTTATGTGCACAGCTTTTTGCAACTTCTAAGGTTTAAAAAAACCCAGTTAATGCTGAGGATTTTTTTTTGCAGATTGACAGTTAATGGGTATTAACTCTTTCATCAGTTTATGATGAAAGCGTAGCAAAGTATTACAAAGTCTTCCCATGTAAACAAATAAAGTTTTGCTCATCATGGATGCAACAGGGTATAGTACAAAAATGTTTTCTCTTCAACCTCCTGAAAACTTTATGTTTCTTTATTTTTTCAAAGATTTTCATAGTGCTAAACAAACAGAAAACAATCTTCAGATTTACAGCTACACGTGCCTTATGGATCCTCAGTCCTTTCCATCCAATCCGAAGAACAGCAATTAAAATTTTAGTACATTCATATCCTTTTGTTGGCTTCATTTTCTCTTTTTGATTATGAAACCCTACGTAATCCTGTACTTTTGTATTTTAGAGCATTGGATGAATCTGGTCTTTTCTTCACTCCAGATTCTTTCTAATTACGTATTACCTTAGAAATTATTATTGGCTTGGATCTCATGTGCTACTTAGAAATAAATAGTTTGGTGACTACTGGGGGTATTGAAGCCTGTTTTTCATTTACATTTTGAGACTTACATTTTGAGCATGATCTCTGATGTTGATTTTCTGATGTCTCATAAACAAATATCTCATGATGAGGCCTTCCTTGGTGAGAAGACTAACAAGATCTCTGTCTTCTTTCCCATCTTCTGTTTGGCCAAACTATAGGAATTAAACTCAACTCATATGCCAAAGCTGATCAGCCATTGGCCAATTTTAAGAAAAAAAGGCTGAGATAGGCAGGCATGCATATGAAAACAAATAGAAAGAAAAATTATGCAAACAGTTTCTTTAGGAAATCAGATTAAAAAGATGTATCTTTGGTAATATGAAAGTGAAAATTGCCAGGGATGCTGTTGCAGGGAATGCCTTTGGAATATAAAGGGGATATAGATCCCATCAAACTTAGTGGAGGGGGATCACTAGTGCTCCAGTTTAGCACTGGGGAATGAGATCAGAGCAATAACACTGTTGCTCGGGGCTGAGTCAGACCCAGTGCAGACTCCGCGGTATCCCAGTGTGGATTGGAGGTTTCCAGCCAATTCCTGGATCTGTGGTGCCGAGTTAGCTGCAATGGTTCTGAGTTTGTTGTCTTAGCAGGGTACAGATATCCCTGGAAAACTGATGCCTCTTATCTGAGGCTTTAGCCAGGCAGCAAGTTGGTGATACTGCTGTTTCAATACCAGCAGTCCAGCTCCTGGGTTTGTGATACTTTGACCATGCCTAGAGCTAAAGACAGGGGATGGAAGGGATGGATGTCTTTCTCATGCTCATGTACCTCCTGGATTGCCAAAACATGTGGTATGACACAAGGCATGGAATATAGTTCCAGAGCCAGGTGGTCAAGCTGAGGTGTCTACATGTGAGCTAGGTGCTCTACTGTCAGCAGGTCCTGGAGAGCAGCTGGGGAGCCCCAAGATTTGGCTAAACATCTAGAGTCTTTTGGCTGAAGGATCTGCATCTCTTTAGCTTGGAGAAGACGAGGCTGAGGGGTGACCTCATTAATATTTATAAATATGTCAAGGGGGAGTGTCAGGAGGACGGAGCCAGGCTCTTCTCAGTGACATCCAGTGACAGGACATGGGGCAATGGGTACAAGCTGGAACATAGGAGGTTCCAGAAAAATATTACAAAAAACTTTTTCACTGTGAGGGTGACAGAGCCCTGGCACAGGCTGCCCAGGGAGATTGTGGAGTCTCCTCCAGAGACATTCAGAACCTGCCTGGATGCGTTTCTGTTCTATCTACTGTAGGTGATCCTGCTCTGGCAGGGGGGCCAGCAAATCAGCAAATACATGTGCATGCTGTTCTTCCATGTGCTTTAAACTCAAACTCAGCTGCTAAGTTGGTGACTGCTGAAATATCTAGTTACATTTCTGAATCAATGTCGTATTCTTTGCCTTCACTCCCGTGACTTACATTATTCACTTGGTTTATCATGTGCACTATTCTAACTAATTGTGTGTTCATGATTCTGAATGAGTCTTCCAAGCCCTCTCAACCCCCTTCATGGAATGAATCCTCTAAGACTTCTCAATCCTCTTCATGGAACAAGTATGTCGAGTAAGTATCTGTGGGTACGTACTTTTTTTAATTCTGTAGTTATATCAGATTATTGAGACTTATCTTGCTGCCTTCAGTCAAGACAGTTTATGGGGGATTTAGAAGGAAAGTAGCTTGTTAGGACTTCATCTTTTTTTTTTTTATTTGAGAGAGTATTTTCATCTCTAAACTTAGTGTCTACAATAACTGTGGTGTTATAGGAGACAGTAAGTATAGACTAAGTTCCGCTGTTGAACTAGCTTCATGTCTGTCCTGTTGCTCCAGTTTCTTATCCCACTTCTGAAGTTACTCAGTAATTATTTGCTCTTTATCCAGATACACTTCCCATTGTTGCTGATGTTGATGATGGACATCAAGAGCTTTTGTCTTTCAAAATTCTTTTAAACAGTATCGAAGCTGAGTTTTGCTCTAATAAAACATTCTGTTAGAACCTCATGGCCTGCAGGATGCTGTTAGAAAGCTTTTATCTTTAGCACTGCCAGCACTTGCAATGTTAAATCACAACAGATCCATGCCTTTGTAGTCACACTTAAGCAGGATAAGCCTAGGTTTTTGTACTGTTTGTTTTTTAAGATTATTTCAGCTCTCACTTTTTCAGTTTGGCACAAAAAATACAAACCCCGAAAAATTCTAACACATAACACAAAGTGAACAATTCCGAAACCCTTAGTTTTAAAGACGGGCTTAAAATGGTTTCTAATTATCTCATGTTACCTGACAACTCATGTAAGAGACAGGAACGGCAAATCCTCATGAAATCTCAAACAAGACTCTGCGTGGTATTAATCTTCACAAAATGCTGAGATGCTTCTCTACCTAGGAGAGCATTGAAGTTTAGGTAACAGTCGTATCTGCTGTTGGCATCGAGACTAGTGTTTGAACGCATTTCAATAATAATTTCAGAATACTTATTTCCAAATAAAAAGGGAAGCACTACCTTCACATAATTTCTTAGTGCATTTGCTGACTACCGAATGAATGCCTTTTGAATTCTGTAGGGAGATCTCTGCCTTGTTGAAATGATAAGTGCACTCAGTAGGTCCAGAAGAGCTTTTACTGGTAATTTTCCATTAATAAGAATAATTGCCATCTTAAATTGAAAATCCTGTACTCTTGTATTTCTCTAAGTGTTTTAAACATTTTGCACAGAAATGGATGTTGTGTGCCCAAAGTAAATAATAAACAGCATATCACACTTCACTCGGCCACTTGAAACCAGAGGAAGATACACATTTTTATCTTCATTTTAGCAAGCAGCTAGGAACTTTGTGTGTCTTAAATTATGGAGACTCACATGCAAGAGTTTGAACCAAAGTGTTGAATACTAAAACCCCTTATCACAGGTGTGCATGTTAATAGCCCTATCCAGGTTGCCGTCAAATACTGTCTCAAACTCCATGTGGGTCAAATACTTACAGAATATGTAGAAATCAACAGCTCTTTATCCATTATCTCTCTGCAGCATTGGCTTGGTTTGTTGGCCTAGACAGTAAATAGTCTGACTATGTCTTTTCTGTTAATTGCTAATATTGCTCTTGTCCTTTGGCACTTCTCTCCCTTCCTTAGATTTACTTTCACTGGCATTTACACTTTTGAATCACTGATAAAAATATTGGCAAGAGGCTTTTGTCTAAATGAGTTCACTTTCCTTCGAGATCCCTGGAACTGGTTGGATTTCAGTGTTATCATTATGGCGTAAGTGGAAACATTTAAAATATGGATTACCTGTGGAATACCTCCCGTATCTGAAGTTCTTACAGCTGTGGTGCAAAAGGCTGTCTGCAGCAAAAAAAAAAAATTCCCATCCTAAGTGGCTCCTAACTGCATCTGAAATTATCTAGGACATTAATTCTTCCCCTTGTTTTGCCACTCACTGTATAACAACGTTTCAGTCTTTTAAGAAGGGAATGGAACTGTGCAGAGCAAGATACACTCACTCCATGGGGAGTGTAGGTGACCAGACACATGTCAAGCTGTGAAATGCAATTGCTGGGCTGTCAAATACAGACGTACTAATCCCTAGAATGAAAATGCAATTTTTTAGCCATATGTGTATAGACAGTCAGTTAAATTTGGGATCTTTTTTGCCAAATATTCTAGTTTCAGTTTGCTATAATTGGAAAGCTTCTCTATTGGTTAAGTGTAGCTAGAGAAAGGAGATCAAACTGGTTCAGCCAGGTTTTCAGCCTGAAATAAGTAGTTTTGATTGTTATCTTTGTTCATGTTTTAAATGTGTGATATTTTGAGATGCTGACACAAAAGAAGCTGTGCACAGGAAAGGAGCTGCCACGTAAGGAAACTGTAATAATCAAGAAATGGGTTTTCTTTTATAAGTCTTCAGAAAAATCCTTGATATGTAGTTATTGATACTTAGGAAATGCTTGGAAGGACTGACAGTTAAGAATGACCACTGTAAAATAGTTGCCTTGTTTACTTTGTTCAACCACTTGAGACATCACATCTGACTTTACAGGTACGTGGGAGCATTTAGTAACTTGGGGAGTGTATCCGTCCTTCGGACTTTCAGGGTTCTGAGAGCTTTAAAAACCATTTCAGTAGTCCCAGGTAAGAAACCCTATTTGCTGAATATTTTCTGCTACTTACAACTGATTCTTTGCTCCAACCAAAAAGTTGGCTTTTGACTTTTACTTTTTTTTTTTTCTTTTTCTGTATCTTTCATTCATTGCAGATAAAGTTGAATTTGTGGACGTAAATAGTGTCTCAGTTCACTTGGCCCAGCCAGAATAAATTAAGCATTAGAAATAATCATGTATTTAATTTTTTTCCATCATGCTTTTAAAGATTTTGTTAATACTTTATAATGTCAATTTTACAGAATGTACTTCTTGCTGGTCTATGTGTTATGGTACAATGGAATCAACTCTGGCAACTGAACAGACTTTACTATTAATACTCTTACAAAATCCCTGGGAAAACAGTTGCTATTTCACTTAGCAGATTCTTTCTTAGGATCAGATACAAAATAAAAACCAGAGAATTGTCTCTGTCTTCTGTTTCTGGTCTTTTTTGATCATATCCATCATTGTTTCCAGTGTTTCCAGTTTCTTCACAGATTACCAGTGTTGGAAATTTCATTTAGGGGGCCCGTTAGCTCAGTGGTTTGAGTGCGGTGCTGACAACAATGATAACACCAAGGTCGTGGGTTCGATTCCTGCTAGGTCCCAATGTGTTGCCTTGTCTTGTCAAGAGGTGGCGTCCCTGCCCATGACAGGGAGTCGGACTAGATGATCTCTAAGGTCGCTTCTGGCCTAGGCCATTCTATGATTTCAGTTATGCATATTACACTTTCTGGATAAGAAAAAACAGACTCTCTCTGTTTCTGCATCCTTGCCTAAATATTTCACAGGGACTAAAGGAACATTTGGAAAATGTAGGGTCAACCAAATGAGGAAGAAATACTTTTTTCTCATATTAATCACCCATTCAAACTATACTCTCATTGCAAATATGTTTGCTACATATTATCCAGTAATTTTGGTACTTCAGTTGTTATACATTGGTTTAACTCTAATCAAGTATGAATCTCAGGTTTTCATCCCAGTTTGCTTTTGTATATTGTCTTTCTAGGACTCAAGATCATTGTGGGGGCACTTATTCAATCAGTTAAGAAACTTGCTGATGTGATGATCCTAACTGTTTTCTGCCTGAGTGTCTTTGCCCTCATAGGCCTCCAGCTGTTTAAGGGCAATCTAAGACAAAAGTGTGTCAGGAACTCTACAGAGTTCAATAAAATACCTTATCTCCTTAACAAAACGTGGGACTCCTATGAAATGTTTCTTAATGATTCAGGTAATTTTTCTCCTTAACTCTTTTTTAGATGACAGTATAAACATCTATGTATGCACATATAACCACTGCTGTAAATGATATTGATGTTTTGATAATTGGTATTTGGATCAGTAACTACGTAATAATGGCCTTCAGATTGCCAAAGCAGCTTGTAGAAACCCAGGAACTCATCCCTTCCCTTCGTTGTAAGAAATGGCACTCCTAAATTTTCCAGTAACGTCCAAGTAGAAATGTTGAAATACATTAAAAAGCTGCACAGTCTTGCTGTTTGCATGCACCTTGTGTGGAAGGTTTTCTTCAATAACTTCATAGTCTAGGGTGAGAAAGTGTTTGTATAAGAGATTTCTGAGGTAAAAAAATTTTGTGACAAACTCTGGTATCTACCAAAAGACCACACATACAAACAAGTCATTTCCATATACAGAATGGTGTAAAAATCATAACTGAAAGCAAACTTCAAAAGGAACCAGGAGTACCACAAAAGAGATCATTGATGTGAAAAACTTTGTGTAAACATACTATTTTTTTTTGTGCTGAAGGAACAGGAAACATAAACACCTAATTTTATTTTTGTAGATATGTGTTTTGGGTTTTTTTTTAAATTCAGAACACTGCAGCTGTATAAAGGCAATGATGTGGAGAAAGTACGGCTCAAGAAATTAAAAATCTATGTCTTGTTCATATCCTACACCATACATCTTGTTTGCAGGGTGATTTTCAATGACAGCAAAAAGATTAGGAGAGCCCAGACAGGTTTATTGAAAGCTAGATCGCTCTTCTACAGGAGTTAGGACTTACAGCACTGCAAGCCCAATTTTCTGTTAAACGATTTTTTTTATATATTTTTTTTCATATATTTTTTTTCATGGACAGAAAGAACTGTGATTTTGTGGGAAGTTCATACTTCCAGTAAGGAGAAGTATATGTTTTTATGATTTTCTGAAGCTCAATAACTGGATCTTCTTTTCAAAAAGAAATGACACCTTTTTGTTAGCTGAGATGGACCAAATTGTGTGGAAAGTAGCTCAGATAACAACTCATTCCTTTATGGTGTATTTACGTGCTATGGTACAGCTGATACTAAATATTCCTGCT